AAAGGACTAATCAAATGACACTGTGTAACTGTGCAATATAGAGGGTTTTGTAGAACAGAAAATCTTTTGTCTTCTGAAGTCAGAACGAATTCTTGGAAACATACGATATACAGACAAAAATTGATACATCAATAACCCTATAATCTTAGGACCATTTGTTGTTAGTGGCTAAATGTTAGAAAAAATATTATTTTTCAATATAAATTAATTAAATCAAGACTGTTTCCTTACACATAGTACCTGTGACAAATAGCTGACAGAAACATTATTAAATAATCAATTACGTCGAAATACAAAAAAAAAATACAAGTTGTTCCATTCGTCGCAGTTATAGTTTTTACGTGTCCTTACTTTCCACAATATTTTTAGATAATAAAATAATATATAATGACAGAAGGTAATAGATTTTGTAGAGCAGAAAATTTTCTATCAAATGAGCCTAAGATTTAAAATCTTAGTTAAGTGTATGGAAATAAGTTGCAAAAATGTGTCATTATTTCTGGGCCACCCGTTAGCATAACGATATTAGTTCTATGCCTAAAAATGATTTCTTGACTTATATACTTATCATAATAATATTATTTTCTAGTGCATTAATCCATAACAATTCGATCAGTATTTTTCAATTAATTCTAATTATGATAAATTAAAACGCCTACTTACACTCTATATCATGTACTATACTATTTAACATCAACTAACTATAACTATCTATGGAGACAAGAGATGCTTATAGAGTATATATCTACACTATATATTTTTATGATGATAGACAATTGAATGATCCATTGTCGTTATGTATATAATTTATATTTCATATTAATAACAACAAGCGTACATATCTATTTTCTTCTCTTTTAAATACGCACAAATGTATGATAAAAGAAACGATGAAAATATTAGTACTGATATGACGAACAAAAAATAATTACCCTTTTGAAACTTATTATAGAACTCATCAATCAGCAAAGACAATAATACCATACATATACACATACACGTTGACAACTGTAGATGTAATAACTTGCAGTTTACTATAGAATAATTTTTTGTTTTGGCGTTTATCCATGCTTTTTAATTGTTCTGATAGAAGATCATTTATAAACGACATCGAGATAAAAATAATCTTTTCGATGCTCTTTCATACTTAGATATACAACAAATCTGAGTATTTGGGTTTAATGAAAGATTTGAGACTATAACTCTAAATTAGACATGCATCGGTTATTCATAACCGAAAATAACCGATCGGTTATTCAGTTAATGGAGTGCTCTAGAAATGGAATAATGATGAATTTTTACTCAGAATCTGTCGGCTATGATCGGTTACAAGCATAACTGATATCGATCACTAATCGATTTTCAGCGGTTAACCGACAATAGCCGTTGGCATGCATACTCTAAATAGTTCGAGCTTGTCACCTAAATCAGATACCATTATCATTTCTAGTTCTAAATCTCTTTTACAATCACTATGAGGGTGCTTGACGGTGCGGGTGGTCACCTTAATGTTACGATCCATTTCAAAATAGAGCGGCTGTAGATGATTCTTAATAGAAATCCACAGAAAATTCATAATTCACTAAAAGTTGAACCAGATAACTAAAAATGTTCAGATACACTCATTTCGCAGGTTTGACATGATTCAAGAGAGAAATTAAAAGGATAATGGCTTTTTACCGATTGAGTTTTCATGAAAATCATACGAAAAAACAATTCTGAAGATCTTTCAAACTATGCAGGACGCTGATCATGTCAAATATTTACAACTGAGTGCATCCGAAAATTTGATTCGACTTTAAATGAATTAGGAATTTTTTTTGTCGCTTTCTATCGAGACTTGTAAAGACTCCCTCTTCATTTACCAACGAGAATGAAGACCGATGAAAGATGTGAACAAAATGTATCCTATCACGATAAATATATAAAAATAAGGTATACTGTACAAATTCATTATGCGCATGCACAACAACTTAGGAACGATAATAGGGATTTGTTGAAAATGATGAAAAATCCAAACTGTTTGGATAATAAGCATGGCTTTGGATTTGATGGGTCTCTACTCATACCTGTCCAGCTTAACTGGCTCTCTCTCTCCGTAAATGTCGAGATCCAAATTTATTTCAGGAGTTAAAAACGATAAAATATTCTAAAGTTGTGAACTTCTAGGATTACTGTAGACGACTCAAATCTATAAGATTATTATACCGAACTACAACAACAAAAAATCAATAAGATTGGGTCTATTTTGATAAAACATCTTAATTTTAGACTAAAATTGAACTGAGATTATTTAAGCCATTGTTTGAAAAAAGTTACATCAACTATTTCACTTTGTCTATGGAGCACATTCTTCAAGCAACCATCGAAAAAGGACAACTCTTTTTCAGAAAAAAAAAATCAATTTTATTTTATTTGCCCATGGAATGGATGAGAAATTTTCTTGCAGTTTAACAGAATTGAACCAGTTGATAACGTTTAGCGAACTTAAAAACACAATATCTTCATCACTAACTCAAACCGACTCTCAAAAGCATTGGCAAAGATATAATAAAAACGTGTAGAAAGAACAATAGGGCTGAAAAAAGTGGAATTGACTTCTCTACAGAAAATATTTTTACCAGTATTGGTTGTGTACGAGAGCGAGATTTTTTTATTCTTTCTGGTACCGGTACACATCAGTGTTGGTATAAACTATACTTTTTGGACACGTATTCAGCAAAATGTCAGTGCCGTACTAAAATTTGTTTGAAGAATTAATCTTGTTCAAAGTGAAATGCTTGTTTGATTTACAGTACGCTTCAAAATGGGATCAGACTTTAAAGGAAAACGTGATTTCGTAAATGCGCCTGTTTAGTTCTGCTATTCTAAGTTTCATAACATGTGCAGTAGTATTATGTACCATGTGACATCGAGCATACTATAAGTATTAACTTTTGATTAACTAAATTGATAAAAGCTTTTAAAAAAAGTCAAAGTCTTCTTGAAAATCGTTTGAACATTCTGAAGAAATATTTGTCTCACTATCTTTATGTTCAATTATAGCTGATCGCTTTGCCTTCTTTATCTAAACACCCTTTATGAATGATCCCTGGAATATACTGGACAGAAAAAATAGATGGACAACAAAAATTGTTACAGTAACTAAACAACAAATAGAGGTGTATGCGAAAAGAAAAATATAATTGTAATAACGGAGGTTTTTAATATATATAATAGCATAAAAACCAAGTCGTTTTTGACATAAATAATAACAATTAATGTCGAACTATCTGCCTCTTAAATCATACTAACAATCAGAACTGCTAAAAAACAGCACTCTCTTGTATGGTATATGTAACATACCGTGTATAACAACTTGATTAATACAATGATAGAATTAATGAACTTTATGCCCGTTATGGAATGAAATTGTACACTTGATCTGAATTTCATAATAAAATCATTTCTGCTTTCCTAGGGAACTTGAATACAATCTCAAAATAAAAGAAATGACTCCGATTAATGTTCTTTGATTCATTTGTGAGTATTATCAGTAAAGAAACGTTTGCTGTGTGTGAGACATGAAACAGACACACTGCGACTCTCATGGATATATTAAAGGTAGAATCGATTAATTGTTATTATACTATTTTTAGAATAATTTTTGAACGAAAGCGTTAGAATCTACCGTCTTCATCGATTGTCGGTTAACACACCAGTCAAAAAGGATCAAACCTGACTATATTTTTCGCCCAGCGTAAAAAAAAATCTTCTTCAGTGTTTAGCCATCAAACTGAGTAGAGTAATTATTTCTGATTAAAATAAAACAAACCTGATCTCAAAAGCTTCATTTTTGACCGAATTATACGAGCTTTACTAGAAGTTTCAAACATGCAGAACAAACAAAACCAACGTTTTTTCAAACGCATTTCAACACAGTATTTCATCCCCTGTTCGGTTTTGCTGACATGTAGAAGGATTTCTTTTTTATGTCAGATGAAATCTACAGGATGTATCCCTTTAGAAAGATAGCTCAAACCAACAGAGATATAAGTTATGATATAACGTAACTTTCGTGAAACTGAATATGTTTGAGGTCTCGAGCGATTTTCAGGAATCAGTGAACTTATTTTTGGAAACTGTCAGAAATCAGCAATCAGTTTCAATGGACAACGTGAGTTTTTGGACAGTTGTTTGTTCATTCATCCGATGTAATGATAGTTTTCAGTTGAATGTTGAAAGAATGAATGATATTCTAGCTTTGGTGTAGCGTGGTAACTAGTGTATATCTGTAGAAACAATTCGAAATATTAGTAAAATTACGTACAGAGCTAAATTTCACATGATTATAATAGTCAAGGAGAAATTGTCAGAATCTTCAGATAAATGAACAACGCGCAGAAAATTACGATTTTCAGTTAAACTCTTCCTGTAAAAGTTGGTCGATCGTGTATTCGTGTACGAACGGAGAGAAACAACGAGTTACTCATCAGCATTTCTTCTGTCAAGTATCGCATTATCACTATCACGATCATAATGTCAAAGTGTACGAGAGAAGAGATGAACCATTAGAATGAGATTGTTCATACTTCTAGCAATATATGCTGTCGGTTTTTTAAATTCTAGTGAAGAATACATCGAAAAAGAATAAAACACATACACGCACACACACAATAACAATAACAAGAGAAAGACAAAGAGACAAACAGATAGAAAAAGCGTAAAAAACAAAACTCTTCAAACATAACAACAATAACAGAGATAGCATACAGGAGCAAATAAATGAAAATTTAAACTTTTTTTATTTTTTATAATTATAGATATCACCGTCAACAACAAGAAACCCAAGAATAACAAGAAAAACGTATAATCTCTCACAGAGAACTACTCCAATAATAAAAAATAACGATAACAAGCAAAGAGGCGGATAGTGTAGGAACGTGTCAGAAGAAAGATTTCTGTACGTTATGTCGTAATCGTAATAATAATAAAGCATTATTATAACATATTGGTTGTTCTCAGGAAATTGTTAGTGTCCAATCGGTTGAAACAGATGGCCCCGGACGTCGAATGATGAGAAGTTTTTGTTGATCATGATAACTATGTAAAGGAATGGCTGTTTGCTCACCTAAACATAAAAATGATATGAACAACAGATAAAAAAACATGATAAACGAACGAATGACTACAAAGACCCAGCAAATTTGGGAAATTTTTATTTTTAAATGTTTGATGAGTATGCACGAGTACTATTTTCACATTAAAAGAGGTGTGTAAATCGATAACTTGTTAAAATTGTGTCTACTTCTTACCAGAATTAATTGATACTTTATTTGGATTTTTAGGATAACCAATGATAATAATTCTTTCAATCCATGCACTCGTATCGAATTTGCTACTTGGGTCTAATGAACTAAATAGAGTAGAGATTCTCAGATTAGTTATGGGTAATACCAGTGCTTCATGAATAAGAACTCTTGCATTCTTTCAATAATTTAACCGTCTCTGATCAAGATCATTTTATAATCTACCGTACCTCGACTTTAATTCATTATTTTTGAATAGAAATCGTCGATAAATAAACTGCCGGTTTTTCTTATAATCATATGTATGTCCATCATCCATGTATAATTCCCCTTTAGCTTCATTCTAATATAAACAAAAAGAGTACACATGCAGCGCAAATGAAGTTTGTGTCCAGTGTAACTACTTACATTTTTATCTAGAGCAACTACCAACGTTATTGGATCATTCAATGCTAACATTGATGAACGACGTTTCCTTAGACGTTGAGGAATTATAGTGCCACCACGTTGATATACAGGAATCTACAAATAAATAAGTGAAGCACATCTCAAGAATCCAAATGCTAAAACTGTCGATTTTCCTTTATTCTATCTCGAATGACTTTTTTTAACCCTTCAACATCAAGAAAAAATCCTGTTTTACGAAACACAAACTCCCTAATTATCGACTCTTATTTAAGGTCGTGCTTTTTGACAGCTACGACTGTACCAGTTCACTTAAACATGATCACCTAATATCACAACAATATTTTTTGTCGTTTAAAGCAACCTACCGATTCCATATCAACTGTGATTAAGGCTGTTTGAGAACTATTGTGTGGTACAAATGTTCTGATATCATACCAAATCTAAATGGAGCAATAACACTGGTTCATTGTGATATTTTTCAAGTCTCATTTCAGAAAACATACAGTGTTATCGCCTGGAAGATATATTGATACTTCGGTCACATCAGCATCTGTAATTGGATGAACCAGAAGACCATTACCTAAATACAAACATTTACAAAACTGGTCTGGAATATTAGTTATTATTGTTCCTACCAATCATAAACGAATCTTCTATTTTAAATGTTTGGGTGTCGTGAGGAAATATAGCCCATAATGGTAACATAGCTGGTACGGCTTGCTTTTCTTGTTTATAAAACAGTGTGTACCAATACGGCAAATAAGAATAACGAGTTTCAATGGCTTGACGAATAAGGCGTGTGTTGTCATCACCAAATAGCCATGGTTCACGACGAGCCGTATCAATGTGAGCATGTTCACGAAAAAATGGTTGAAATGAAGCAGCCTAGAAGCACAAAGACAATTACAATTCAAATCTAGACGAAAATCGATTCTTAATTTTTTTGGTGTCTTGTAGTCTACACAGACGTCACGTTTTAGTGCATCTGCAGAATGTACATTCTTCTTCTTTGTGCATCAGTTTATCTTTTCTGCTAATTTATATTCAATAGTTAGATCACAATTGACAGATTAATTTATTTTCTACAATCTCACTCTATCAGAAGTTTATCATTATCACCCGTGTAGAAAAACAGTCTATGAAAAACTGAGCAAAATGGTATATGAATAATAGCTAGGTGCAGAGCATCAAAGATAACACAGTTTATTTTCGAACATCTATTATGCCATGGTAATGAATGAGAGATTACCCATTTTCTCCCATAAACAAGAGAGGATGCAGGTAGTTTTTCGTGATTGAAGTAAAATAAATTTTTTCCAAAGACATTCTTAGCTATTTTCCTGTGGACTTTGCTGCTTTTGGTGGGATAGGATCTTTCATAAAATGAATGCAGTTTAACAGTTCCATCCTCATTCATCTCGGACAGCTACAATATCACTTTTTCTAATCATTTAATCAATGTTTATCTAGCCATTCTCATCAGATTCTCAGAGAAAAATGTAGATGCGTGTTCTCTTTTAAGATTTGTCCGAATACTCTGATTAAGCAATTCAATCTTTTTTTCTTAATTTTTGATCGTATCATATCGAATTAGATAAATCGCGAAAATCTCAAAAAGCACAACGAGTTTCATTCAAAGAACACGTTTATACATCATTAATATACCATTAACTCATCAACATCGTATTCCAGAAGACGATAATCTTACAAAGAAATGGAAACAAGAAGATGATTCAAAATAATGAATAATACCAAATAGAGCAAATAGGATTTAGTGATCAAAAGTGTTCATTTCAGTTTGATGAGAAATGTATAAAACTTGGTTTTCTCATATATTTCATGAACAATAGAAAAATATTTTTATAGAACCGCTCAACAGGATTCCATACAACTTTTTTGAATTAAAAATATACAGAGTTTTATTCTGTTCTGTTTGTTTTTCTGCTCAATTTTTCCGTTTTCATAAAATAAAGAAGAGCAGTCGACTGTAAATATAAAGTTAAACTAACATTAGAGAAGAAACGAAAAAATTAAACGAGAAACATTTTGGCAATCACACTGATCAGACACAAACAAATAGGAGTTATCACTGATCACTGATTTACTAGATTAGTAAAGTAAAATGTGAATTGCGCATGGGTTTCTTAATGAGAAAATGTTTATATATGCATACCTGATACCATCTGACTAATAATTTTGCATCTGGATTTCTAAAAAATCCGCCTACATCCGCACCCACAAATGTAATGCCTGTAACACTTAAACTCAATAACATTGGTACAGCCATTTTTAAATGACTCCATTCTGCTGCGTTATCGCCCGTCCATACAGCAGATGTTTTTTGAGATCCGGCAAAGAAACTTCTTGTTAATACAAATGGTCGTTCTTGTCCTCCTGATCGATCAAAAAGACCTTTAAATGTTGCCATATGCTGCAACATTCCATAAATATTGTGAACATCTCGATTTTCTAAATCCCCAAAATGAACCACATCTTTCGGGAACGTCACTTCAGGTCCATTGAAAACTGATGGTTCATTCATATCGTTCCATAGAAAGAGATTTGATGTTGAGCCTTTATAATTGGCATAGGAATAACGATTACTATACCAATCAAAAATTTCTGGATTCAAATAATCTAACCACATTGATGAACCTGAGAAGATTTAAAGTTTGATTAACTTCTTGTTAAACAGTTAATTCATTCATTGTTAAAAGCTAATTATTTACCTGGCCAGCACCACCCTTCATAATCCGATCCGTCTTTATTTTGAACAAAATATCGTCTTGATTTAGCATCAGCATAAACTTGATAACCATCATCTTTTTTAATATGTGGATCACTAATAGTAACCATTTTCCTACCATACATGCCGATGTCATGTTGCATTTTTTCTGGATCAGGAAATTTACTCGTATCCCATGTAAAATACCGTTTTCCATTTGTATGTTCAATATCTAACCACAAAACATCCATAGGTATCATATTGTGTTCAAAACCAGCATTTACACTAGAAAAACAAATGAAAACATATCACTGCATTGAAATCGCTCGCGAACTAGAGCATAAACAACATGACTACTATCTATGTTAATTTATTAGCTGGCATAATCGTTTTATTGACTGATTACGTATTCAGATTAAAAGCACAGTTAAAAATTTGTACCGAATCCAAATTGGCACTTCTCAGTATCGTATTTTACACTTTCCAGTTTCTAATACTATTGTGAAAAATATAAAAACTACACGTGTAATCATAAAAAAATACTAATCTCTTAGAATAACATATTGTTCATTTGTTCTTTCCATATCATTTAATACTCATCGAAAGACAATATGCGATTTCAGTCAATGTAGTGAATAAAGTATTGTGCATATACACATTAGAAAATTTCTTGTCTATGTTGCTTTAACAACGAACTAATGTTGTTCACACACCCATTAGATTGCATGACAAAAATTGTCTTTCTTCAGAAAAAGGTATTTTGAGCAATAGGAAAACATAGTGAATCAGAAAGCAATGATTATTATTAAAAAAATTCATGTACACCTAATAAATCAAAAATATCCACTGCGTTTAGATAATTAACATACATACTTTTTAATATCGTCTTCATCATTGTAATTCCATCGACATTGATGATAAGCAAGTGCCCATATCTAAAATGAAAAAACACAACGGATTTGCTCGCATAGGGTAAAATTTATCAAATCTTCTTACAGGTGGCAAGGGTGTTGTTCCTGTAATCAGTCCATATTGTTTAAATACGTCTTTCGGTGTTGGACCCAAGAAAAAGAAACCATCAAATATTCCTGATTCAAACATCCAATGCGTTGTTATCTCGGGTACTTCATTTTGCACTTTTGTGCTACCAAAAAAGTTTTTAATTGTTGAAAGTAAATTCTAAACAGAGAGAAATATAAGTTTTAAAATAAGAGAACATTGACGTATGTTAAGAAATCGAACGTTATATTTTGAAGGAAAAAAAGCAACTTATTTATGGTTGGAAAACATAACATCATCTTTGTTAACAGAGAAACAGGGAAAAGAAGTAAAAAAATGTAGAAATCATTTATATTGCTGACAGTTATAGATAATAAATCGTCTAAGGTAAAGGGTACTTTTACCTGTGCACTTTTGAACCAAACACTCTGTAACATAATACCATGAAATTAAAACTCCAAAAATGCTAAGAAGTAATCAAACTATAATAACTTATTTAATTTATTATTTCTATGCTTTTATTTCAGTTATTTGTATAAAAAAAGTTCTTATTTTACTTGTTCAATAATCTATTAATTAGAATAATTGTACAACGAATATTTATGTATACAAAATGAGAAAGTATAAAATTTGGAATCAGATCACTTCATAGTCTAACATTTGTTTGAAATTTTTTGTAAAATCATTTAAATCTAACTATCATGAAACACTTACTTTAGTGTTTAATTTATCGTTTGATATATCAACCCAACCTTCAGCAGCATTTAACCAAAAAAAGCCAACACTTGCTTGCTCACTAAAAAATGAAAACATTTTTCTAAAATTTTTCTCTTACTCTTTTTGTAGTTATCTTACTTATGCGCTAATATATATGGTACAGAACCATAAAGTGCCATAGGATTTTGAATATCATACTCAAATACATCAACATTAAAAAAACGATATGGATCCGTATCACTTAAATAGATAGACAATAAAATATATAGTAGAAGTACAATGATGTGAGCCAGAAAAATACCTACTGCGTTGACTTTAACACGAATGAATCAGCGTGCTCCGGTATACCATACACATTTTCAAAATTAGGAAAACTAACATCAATACCAATGGAAGATGGACCTAAATCACACAAAATACTTCTTTATATTTCATGATAATGCCTATTCAATACTTACCATGTGGTTTTGAATCTGTATGTGTTTTAAATGTTTCCTCCCACATACCATCTTCATCATGCTATAATGAATAATAAACAAGAAACGATTTATCAAAATATTTTAACATATAACAAACTTACTAAAGGCGTTTCTCCATCAGAGCTGTAAAAAAGAAGATAATAATTTTGTGTAATAATGAAAAAATTATTTGTTTAATTATGTTTTACCTTTGTTTTTTTCTGTAATGTTCAAAATTAAACAATTGTTTCGAGTTCACTGACATAACAAAAATATTATCATTTGTAAATAAATCTAATCGAAATGGATTTGACACTAGAAGAAAACGAGATGTTTTCCCAAAACGTCCTTCCAGTTGATTTCCATCTAATATAGATGTTGTGACACTGAATAAAGAAAGAATTGATTCAGTGGAAATCAGGAAAGATTTTCTTGCAATAGAAAAGACTATCGATTTATTTGTTTACTAATAATGACATTTCACAGGTGTTTGATAAATTCTAACCTGAGACGGATAAAGATTTAATGAATGTTTCTAGCGATGGAAAATAAATATTTAAGTGAGTACTTTTAATAACGTAAATTTCTTTACTAATATTAAAGCATAGATGAGATAATGCTATCTTCGTACCTAACTAGTTTTGGTTCATTAACAAGAACATTTTGCACTTCATAACGTTTTTTAATTGGTTGTAATTCATTAATTTTCATTCTTAAACTATTGTGTTCTAATGTAAATAAATCTAACTGAAATTTGACACTATTTTGTGTATTCATCATCGTAAATTGTAAATGACCATCGGTAATAGTTTTCATAGACGACAAATCAACTGAATACGGCGACACATCGGGCTTGTATTTACGATTGCGTCTGGATAAATACAATAGTACAAAGAAAATCACAAATATGTTTCATAGCGAAAAAATATGACCTACCGACAAAATGAACTTTGATCACATGATTTAAAATTACTACGATCAACACATTGAATAAATGTAATTGAACAAAAACAGAAAAACAATGCTAATGAAATGTAGTAGGAGTGCTTGTACAGCAACATGACTACAACAACAACAACAAAACGAAGATATCAGAGACAAAAGACGTTTCTCATCTAAGAAGGAACGAGTAAAATAAAATGAAACGTAGGCTAAATATAAATATTCGTAGATGATGTCTTGAAAAATTCAAAATCGCATAGCAGAGGATCCTTCAAGATTTGCTTATCAATACTCTTGTGTTCATGAACGTTTAATTTGTTTTAGCGTGTGGTTTAACTTTGACTTAACACAACAGATTGAGTGATTATTTAGAGCTAAGAGCTACTTCAGAAACGCTTCTTAGATTCAGAGTTAAAAATAATCAATAAATGCATGAGTTATAGAAATATTTGAGGTTACTGTACAAGCTGTGGGGCAAATAATGAACGTATTATCATTACATTGGTTTATATGTTAAAACGATAAGAGATATGTGGCAAACTACAGCTGTCTTGTTAAATTTTTATTCGTTTAAAAAGCGCTAATCATCAAAGCTCACAGAAGTGCATGTGTGCATCACAAATGAAAGCATAAAATTTAGATGAACATTGTCTGAAGTGTGTTACCTCATTTACACAGAAATTGTTATCACATAAAATACAGACCGAAATTAATTATGTAGTTTTGATGTTTTATACCCAGCAACACAAAAGCGAGTCAAAGAATGATGAATATTAGTTAGCGCAATGTAAAGTAGAGTTTTCGCACGCGCTGTACGCGAAACTGGAATTTGACTTCTTATGAATGATTTATGAACGTATAGTTAAGTACATCCTTTAAAAAACTTTGACTGTTTCCTCAAGAAATCTTAAACATATTTGCCTTTTAGCAACTGTTTTTAATATAGTAAAAAAACCTTCTCTAACTCCTTTTATCGTGTCATGATAGTCTCATAGAATTTTTAACAACAACAACAACATTTTTATCAAGCAATTGTAGGCTTTTTCTGTGTAAAGACAAAAAGAGCTGAGTTTTATAAAAGCATAATTATTCTTGAGTTAAGACATTCGTTCTGAATATTAGAGATTAGATGATCACTGGAAAGAAAATATCTCATGTAAAAAACAATAAAAAAAGATAACCGGTGACAAATACGGTCTGATAGATAAGATTTTTCAGTCAATTTGTTGGCTATCTTCAGGAATCTTGTTCATCCATTTGCTTTCTAGAATTAGCTTATCCTTAGGATTCAACGTTGATTCATCCTTTTTTATATATTTTCTGAAGAAATTTCGTTTTATATTTTGGATTATTTTTTATGTGTGTCTGTTGAGTTGACACAAAATATTTATATAAATTTGGTGTCATCTGTGAATAAACATCATGGGTAGGCAAAGTTAAACCCATACTTTTGAAAATACTCGATGTTTCCTTTCTCTTTTAGCTGAAGCCGCTTTATATCGAACAAAAGCTGCAGCTGAAACTGTGGGCAAAGAAAAGAGTGCCTTTTATAGAAACGTTATTTTACCAAGTAAAACATACCGTGAAACATCTAAAGTATGTCTATATTATATAGACATCGAATAATTTATTTTCAACTTATTTTTTTCTAGCTTCCATTACCACAAGTAAAAAATGCCGCGACTGTATATGAAAAACAAACATCATTGCAAAAAGAAGATACAGAAAAGTATGTGTTTACATGTTTTACTGTATCTAAAAGTAACTGGCATATATTTTTTTCTTTCAAGGTATCGCAGTAGTTTGCGTCGTCAGTTATCCATTGATATGTTACGTAATGGCCATCATCGTTCGTTTCGTGAACTGTGTTCTATCTTGGCTTGGCAAAAGGAGGACAGAGAAAGATTAGGTCCAGAACATCCTCTCCATAGACGTCCTTTATTAGACAATGAAATAGATAAAATGAGAAAATTATGTACATTTCTAACAAAAGCAGAAGAAGCGGAAAGACATTGTAAGTATGGGTAGACAACCAACAGTTACATTGATCCGATGGAGAATTAAAGTTTATCGTATTCTACCTGAAAAAAAAATAGGACTTCTTTCGGCACAGCATTTTTCATCGTACAACTTGACACCCAGATGGTGCAATTTCTCCCTCGTTTTGATCATGTGCATTCATTGACCAAATGACTTTTTCTTCTATTTTGTATTATGATCTTCGTAAAGATCGCTCTAGTTTGAAACTTATACTTCAGCAACTGCTAATGTATAAAAGTGCCAACTTAGCTTATTTAGATTATTCCTTGTCCCTGATTACGTTTTTATCGGTGTTGAATGTTGAAATGAAGCAGTGATTGCATTCGAGAGGAAAAAGAAAAAAGGAATTTATAGAAAGAGTGAGACCAATAGTATCGTTTTTTACATTCACCGTTTTATTTGACATACATTGTTAACGTTGTTTAAATACTGAAACAAAGAGATGATTGTACTATATGTGATAGAAAATTAAAGGAAACAAAGAAGAAATAGTCCGATAGTAATAAAAACGACCATTATTCTCTTCATCGTTTTGTTTCTCATGTTTGAGGCAAATTTGTAAGCGAAATAGGTGCCTTATTGAAATAGGACTATGGATAATCTAACAGGGCACAGATTATAAATCTAGACACATTGAAAAATGTTACTTTGTTTAAGAACAACGTGTGAATATGTTAAATATACTAACAGTTTGTTTGACTAGAAAATGTATGGACAAGGTTGGAAGCCCATAGAAATTATCAATTTGCGGCTTGCTTTTTTCATGGGTCTATTTCTTCTTTAAATGTACTTGAGCAGTATATTTCAAACAGCTTGTGTACAAGAAGAGTTTATGAATCTGTGATAGCTTGTTTGAATATTTAAACTGATGTTTCTTGTGGTTATTCTTCAGCTCAATATTCGAATATGTACAATTCTTATTTGGAATTAGCCTGTTATTTCTTAAAAACGGATGATCGTTGGTTATCGGATTATTTTTATGAAAAATGTTTGACAGTTGCACAGACCTATGATAAATTAGATCCACAATTAGCTGCTGAAGCACATTTGAATGTCGGATTAGCAGGAGAGAGAGGAGGTACGTTCGTTTAGACTGTATATAAAAAACTCTTTTTAACGTTGCTAACATTTAGGTGATTTAATGAAGGCATTACACAGTTTCGAGAAATATCGTGAATTAAGCGAAAATTATCCAAAACTGAAATTAGATGCAAGCTTAAATTTAACACGATTATACATGAAACTAGCCGAAAGAAGAAGCGATGATGTTCTGCAGTATGTTCTCAAAGCTTATGAAGCATCAACACAATGTAAGTGTTAATGTCTCTTGTGCATAAAAACGACAATGTCTTCGATGTAGAGCTCTGTGGGATCGGAACTGGAGGGAAAAGATTTACGGGATCGGGATCGGGATTTTCGCTCTATATGTATACCAGATAGAAAACAAAATGTATACATCTAATCAAGTATATAGACATTGGTTGAATTTTTATTCAACGAAAGAAAGGAAAGAAAAATATTATCGTCGGTGGCCATTTTTTGCAGCCCTTATTGACGGGTAACTCTATCACTAGCTACGTTTGATAGGAATTAGATTAGCACGTAACATATTCCAACAACTGTTGTAATATTTAAGTATTAGTTTTTCAGAGGAAAAACTTAATATCATTTTTTGCGATACTACGTTTTTTCTGTGACTTTTTAAATTTCTTTTTATTATTTTCACTGAAGTACAACACATTGTTGTTTATCAGCTAACTATTTAGTAGAAAGGAATAATTCCTTTTTTCACAAAATAACTTTCACATGTATTTCGATTCTGTTAACTCTTTCCGATAGTTTACTGTTCAACAAGGGACAGTAAGAGTGGTTACCATTGTCAATCACATTCTTTCTTTCAGCGTGCCGCACATGAGCGACAACTGGCTGTATTTTAACGAAAAACATTTTTGGGATTTAACTGGATCGTAATTAAGCTTACGGGACGGGACCGGGATAGAGGTTGGAGAAAAGATTTTTCTGGAATCGGGATAGGGTTTTACTGTACGGCACGGGATCCGAACGAAAATACTCAATCTCACAGAGCTCTACTTTAATGTTTTTCTTCAGCTGGCGATAAAAAAGTCGAGAATGAAACGAGTTATAAATTGGGCCAAGCCTATTTGGAATATGGTGACGTAGATTCGGCTCTAAAATATTTACATGCATACTATGATTGGTGTCAAAAAGAAGGAGATGACGAAGGATTTGGACGAGCATCAGAAGCGTTAGCGACTTGCTATCAAAAGTGAGTTGATTTGGATGAGGTAATCACCATGGTAATTTTATGCGTTTCGTTTAGACTAGCAAATGTGGAAAAAAGTACCGAATATTTAACGAAATATCTCGAAAAAGTTCAGGGAAAAGAAGGTGACATACAGTATGCAAGGGCATGTAGTGCACTTGGATTTATCCATAATACATTGGTAAGAATATTATTCTACTCGAATTTTTGAATCATATTGCTTACCAAATTTCTTATGTTTCTGTTAAGAGTCGTTATGATTCTGCTATTGAATCTCTAAGTGAAGCTTATCGTATATCACGAGAAAGTCGTCATGCTGATTTGGATCGTAATCGCGTTCTATTTGGTATTGCTCAAGGTTTAAAACTGCGACCATTTTTTAATGATCATGTCGATCGAATGGATACTCATTCATTGAATTCGTTATTGAAATGGAAATGTACAAGAGACGAAAAAGCAGTGATGAAAACAAAACCCTAAAAAACAACTTTCTTTTTCGAACAGTCTGTTTTTTTGTATAAAACTACCATTATTTTCTTATTTATTTTGTGATATAATAAAAATATCGTGTCTTCTGCCATATGAAAAAACGTATACAATGGTTTAAGTACACATCTCCGCATGAATATATTTGTGTTGTATCAGGGCTCATTTATTCTCATATACCTTTTAGAAAATATTTGATGACTGCCGAAGATCTTCATGGATTTGTACCAGATCATAATGATACAGTGTTACTGTTGATTGATGTTATCAATGATATGAATTTTGAAGGAAATGAAGAATTAATTAAGCGTATTGATGATGTTGGTAAACGAATTTCTGATTTAAAACACGCAGCGAAAGCATCAGGAATACCAGTAGTTTATGTCAACGATAATTTTAGTCGATGGCAATCTAATTTTCAAGCATTATTAGAACATTGTTTAGAAGAAGATGTGCCGGGAAAAGGTTTGGCTAAATTACTAACACCAGACAAAGACGATTACTTCGTACTTAAACCGAAACAGTAAGTAAACTAGTAATAAGCTTATGAATCATTTATACTTCATACTCTTTATTTTAGCTCTGGCTTCTATTGTACGCCATTGGATATTCTTCTTGATCATTTTCGTGCAAAAAGCTTAATCCTAGCTGGTTTTGCCGGTAATATTTGTGTTTTGTTTACGGCCAATGATGCATATATGAGAGGTTACAAAATCTATGTTCCTGGTGATTGTATCGATTCAAATACAGTAGAAGAAAATGAGGCATCATTGAAACAAATGGAAAAATTGTGTAAAGCCGATATTCGTCAATCGAGTGAACTTATTAAACATATTTCTAAATATCGACGAAAACAGGTCCAAAAAGATGTACAAGAGAGTAAATAAATGTGCAGATAAACATTAGTATTATTTTATATCCGCGATGATTTAGCAAGAATAGTTTTCGTTATGTTTGATTTTTTCACGATTTATTTCAGCATTTTTTTTAGTAAAAATATTAGAAAAAATGCCCAGCATTAATATAAGCTTTATTCTATCAGAATACAAGTGGAAAAATATTCCATTATAGTATTACAAACTAAAACTATCGAAAAGTACAAAGTCAGTCTTATGTGAATAGAGATTCGAATGCACAGCATTCAAATAAAATCAATCGAAAGTTCTATAAAACGATATGATAACTTGAATAAAATCACTCCCATTAAAGTATATCACTTCAAGTTCCATGATCTGAGTGCACAGTCACTGAGATGTTAATCAAACAAGTGTATGAGCATGAGTTTCGCATGGAAGCCATGTATTCAAGGACATGGATCACAGCCATAAGGTTAACGAACATTCACGAACTCTACCTGCAAATAAAACTATGTTTCGTCATTTAAAGGCTTGAATGTCAGTGATTTTTCTAAACTTCAAACAGATTTCAAAATGATCGCCATCTCGAGCTCTAAAGCTTCACTTTTGCAAGAAGACACTTCTGTAGAATTATTCAACTATGGCACGATGCCTCTCCTTCTAATACTACTCGATGCACGCGAGATGGAGTGCTTGTGGACATTGTCTGTTGATCGAACAGTTGGTCAAGTATACTACCGGATTCTTGCCCGGCGATGTGCCATTCGCACTTATTTCTAATATCTATGTTTGGTCTTGAGTACAATTGCATGTGAAGAGTCTGGAAGGAAGAGGACAATCGCGCTCCGAGGACAAGCTAACCAGACAGCAGAAGAGTCCTGTCTGTGTAGCACAACTTGTGTTTTGATTGTTGTAACCACGATACGATGACACCGATTGGCACAAGATGAGAATGACAACGAGAGGAACAGATACACGTCATTGCGATAGTATCACACAACGTGTTCGAGCTCTGGTTCGCATGGAGATGAGTCAGACGAAAGTCGCCGAAAGACGAATAAACTGCACTGCAAAAAATAGTCGTAGATTAATAAACTATCAAAAAGGGTTTATTGAGACTAATAAACCTTTTAAAAACCGCTTTTCCGTTTTTTATATCCAAAAAACTAAAAAGCGTTCGTGACAGATGCAAAATGAAAAACGAACGGTTTTCTATCAAAAATAAGAACCCTTTTCAGTTTTTTGTCGAGTTTAAAATATCAGCTAAAAATCTCTTCAGTTTTTTGTCGAGTCTAAAAAACTAGCTAAAAGACTGAAGAGTTTTTTAGCTGATATTTTAGACTCGACAAAAAACTGAAAAGGGTTTTTTATTTTTGATAAAAAACCGCCCGTTTTTCGTTTTGCATCTGCCACGAACGCTTTTTAGTTGTTTGGATATAAAAAACGGAAAAGCGTTTTTTAAAAGGTTTATTGGTCTCAATAAACCCTTTTTGATAGTTTATTAATCTACGACTATTTTTTACAGTGTGAGATATGTCAAACAAGAGGAAAGAGTATTGAGCTGCTATTTGAAATCGACATTCACTGTTTCTCACTTTTCGAGAGGACGATTCAGTGGTCGATAATATACGAACTCGAGTAGCACGAACTGTTCACTATGTTTTCTCTCCAAATACAACATTGAAAAGAGAAGATAACGAAGTACACAGTAGAGTCTGTTTGGTAGAGAAAAATATCAATTGCTTCGAGTGGTTACAATACCCTCTCTTCTATCGACGGTAAATTTTTTTTTGTCAACGCAGGTTTGTGAGGAATACTTTTGATGACTGTTCTTTAGACGATGACCGAAAGAGTAAGAATCTTACTTTTTCCACGCTGCATATCACTACTCAGTCTTATCGGATGTTCCAGGATTCATCTACCAAAAAAACTTATATCTCACCATCATTTCTGAACCGAATCGGACTTATCGTGTTTTATTACCCAAAATGAATCGAGAATCCAATAAGATCATAAAAATAGGCGTTACATTATTTTCTACATGCTTTAACTTATGTACCGGATGCTAGAGTGACTAGTGCAACGTCTGTAAATACTTCACCGAGCAGAGACGGCGGAGCGTCATGAAACTAGGTGAGGCTCTATATCGAATTTATTAGTGCAGTTAATCAGATCAGATATATTGACAAAATTTAACGGAGTGTTCAGTCCAAAATTAGGGGAGGCTGAGCCTCACCTGGCGGAAATTAGATGAAGCTCGAGCGTCACGGGAGTAGCTCCGCCGCCTCATTTTTCTGACTTTTCTAAACTACACAACTCACTGAACAAAGACTCTAGATGGATCTGAGTTACCTTACTATTCGACGCCAAGCAATATTTTATCATAATGAGAAACTTGACTTTAAAGGAGAACGGTCTCAGTCATTCTTCTCTTCTGACCGAAAACGATTTGGAGATTTGGAATCGCTTAGAGAAAGATAATCAAAAATTAAAAGAATATCACGTTAAAAAGCCATTTGTACCCACTTTAATAGGAAAGAAAGAAAAAAATCATGTTCGACTACCAAAAACAGTACAGCGCTTATCTACCCATAAATCTTGAACGAAATTAGATGCAGAATAAAAAACCGAAAAAAATGGCATTTTATCTTCACTTTCACAAGTGAATAAATGGACGCAAAGGCACTCCTCGGCAGTCAAAATTCTGACTTTCCTGAGGATACCGCACAATCGTACGCAATATATACACTCTATCCAGTAGAAGAGAAATACCACTTCTTCCTGTTCTTTTTGCGAGACAGGACGGGTTGGATTTTGTTTGAGCATGCCACGACGCGTTTCGACCGGTGCTCGACGGTCTCATCAGGTGGTCTGAATTATCTTCTGCTATGAGCTCGAAGATATTTCGGCAATGTCACTTTTCTGTTCTAATATGAACTCGA